CCCCCCCCCTGCAATGGGACATGTTAGTGATGACACCGCTGCATTAACCAGATGCCCTCAGAGTGAGTACAGTATGAATGAATTTACAAAATGTCATGACTCTTCTTTTCATAGGCCCATTACATTCCTGAGCACGCACTTATGTGTAGCTATAAATCCATAGGCGGGTTTCATTTAAAAAAAGATTTCTTATGCACTTTTCTGAACGAGACACAGCAGGTCATAAGGGGGACAGAGCTCTTATGTCACAAAACCATTAATGTGCCAAAACATGTTATGTAAGAATATGTAAAGCATCTAGATGAAAATCTGTAAAGGCCCTTTTGTAAAGCACCTGGGGTCTTTAACAGACAGATCATCTAAACCTGCTTTATGTTGCAACATAAATGAAAAGTTTGCTGGTGTTATAAAAGTTATAAACACATTTGGGACAGTGTCATGGTCTTGGTTTTAGTCCCGTTCCCTTTGCTGAGGTGTTTTCAGGATTTTGTCTCTTCTGTTTGTTGTTTTTCCTCCTGCGTTCCTGTGCTGCTTTTCGCTCGTTCACCCATCCACACACCTAGTCTGAATCAGCCCCGTTTCTTCTTCCCTACTCCCAAAGTGTTTTCAACCAATGAGCTCTCAGCCAGCTCTTCTTAATCGCCTGATTCCACTCACCTGAGCTCCTCCGCCCTTCTCCCGATTTCCCCTTCAGTCTTGTTTGATCAGTCTTATGTTGTATGTTTATGCACAGTTTGCCTAGGCTACACAAACTGTGTAGTTTCCCCTAAAATAAGTAACTAATTGCATAGTACTTCCCAGTAAAACTCTTTAGCAAATATTGGTATTCTACACGTATAATACCAGGTAATCCCAGGAATAAAGCCAAAGATGTGTCCTTTTTATTTTAATCTGAACAACCTCTTACAGTTACTAGGAGATAATTATTTTCCGGGATATTGAATTGCCTAGTAAGCTTAAATAGTTAATGTTTATTTGTTTGTACAAACTCTTGATAAAACTGATCTTGATCTCAATTAGACTAAGGTTAAATACTTTAGATGTGTTTTTATTATTCTGTGTAGTGGTTGTCTTACTGGAGCCTTGGTGCTGTTGGCATAAGGCAGCGGCATGGCCAGTCGCTCACAGTCCTCTCCGCTGGATCCAACCCTGGTGAAGGAGTAGGACCCTCGGATGAAGGGGTTACTGCCCCACGAGGAGCGCAGGACACGCCAGGGCTTAGGAATGTTGGGGTTTCCTGTGGAGGGACGGACAGAAATAAATGACGTCAGCTCGGAGAGTCATCACAGAAACTTTAAGATAATCTGGTGTCGAGGAAATCCGGCTCAATAAAGAATTAAAACGGTCCAAACTATGGCAGCTGTGAGTTAAGGCCTGTACTGGGACGTCCAATCTGCCAACTGTAATCAGTGGTGAGCAGAAAAGGCCCCAGCTAGTCTATATGTAATTAAGCAACAGCTGACCACATGACCTAAATGAGGAATGAGGTGTGTGTGTGTGTGTGTGTGTGTGTGTGTGTGTGTGTGTGTGTGTGTGTGTGTGTGTGTGTGTGTGTGTGTGTGTGTGTGTGTCAATGTTTCCCCTGCAGATTGTGTAGCAGCAGGTTCACTTGGGACAGGTAGTGATACGTTTTCACCTGCAGACAGTCAAACATGCATGGATACAGTCAGACACCCACTGTGTGTGTGTGTGTGTGTGTGTGTGTGTGTG